AAGGCTTACTTTTTGCAATTCCTTCCTTATATGCTATTACAACCTTATAACAGTGTTTACCATCTGCAACCTAATTTATACTAGGCACATTGTTTTATTAAAATTATGTTTAAATTCATTTGCAAAAGCATTATAATATGATATGAAGTGAGGAAATTGGAACTAAAGTGAGGAACTAAAGTGCCCAGGTCATTGGACTTGGACCTTGCAGAGCTTGGCTTCAGATTCACAGCTCACTGATTCCAGGCTCACCTTGTTTCAACCAGGCTGCAATATCTAAGCCACAGATACTTAAAGGTGACTCAGCATGCCCTTGCCTTTTTAAAAAATATTTGTTTGAAGGGTAATTCTTTTGGCTCAGAGTGTGGCCTCATGAGTAAAGCATGTTCTTAGCATGCAAAATAACCTATGTGTCACGTTGCTCCCCAAATTACTTTATTTTGCTTTTTATATTTTTATATGTGCGATTATTTTGCTTGATGTATGTCTGCATGATGAGTATGCCCAGTGCTTGCAGGGAACAGAAGAGGTTGTCATGACCCATCAAACTGGAGTTACAGATAGTTTGAACCACCACGTGGGTTCTAGGAATTAAACCTAGGTCCTCCAGAATAGCAGCCAGTGCTCTTAACCACGGTCACATCACTTCAGCCCCTGTGCCCATTTTAAATTAAAGCTATTTTTTCTATGATCAACAATGAATTTCTACCATCTAGAATTCCTAACAGTAATAATGCTTGAAAAGTTTCCCATTAACATTTTGAATAATAACTTTGCTTTCAGCGCTAAGCTACAATGAAATTGTCATTTCATAATTGATCTAGATTTGATCTACATCCTATGGAGGTTTCCAAGTAGGTTATAGCAATGGCATTTCTAAACTTCTTAAAACAAAATGACCCCTAGATATGACCTGAATTAGATAATAGTTTAATATGAAAGAATAAGGAACATAGAAAGGGAATCCAAAGTTTGAGAATGTACAAATTCATCATTTAATTGCTGTAAACTGGTAGAAAGCACAAGGATTTGGGGGTTGGTATATGAGCCCCAGCCCCAGCCCTAATTTGAATGGCTTATAAATGACTGAGACCAGATTGACTCACTTGTTTTCATCTGATAAATGAGAAAGCAAGGTTAGATGATTTTTATGTATGTGGGTATGTATATATTTGTGTGCATATGCCTATGTACATGGGTGCTCCTACATGTGTGTGCTAGGTTAGTGGTCCAGAGAGTCCTATGGATCTCTGCCTCCCCAGTGCTGGGGTTGAGCTCTTTTTTTTTTTTTTTCAAAAATTTCTGTGGCTCAAACTCAAGTCCTTATACTTACAAGACAAATGCTTTACCAACCGAGCTATCTCCCCAGGCCTAGATGATTCTTTCAGTGTTGTTTGTTTTTATGAAGCAGAATCTCTCTGTGTAACCAGACTGACCTCAGGCTTGCCAACTTCCCCTTAGCCTTTTACATATGTGCATGTATGTGCCACCACACACAGCTCTAATATCCTGTCAAGAACTATGATCTGTATAGCATAAAAGAACATTTGTAAACATGTTTCATACTGAAGGTATATCTTCTAATTACTGTACTAACATGCACAGGTCATTTTACAAATAAGTATTCATACCTAATGGTGTTTCAACCAGCACAGCCTTGAAGAGATCTGATGTGGTCTCTGCAATGTTGACTGCTTCCATCTCTGTGAAACGGCCCAATGGGTGACACTTGGCTAGAACTTCTTTCACAGATTTCTTTTGCAATGCCCCATTCATCAGTAGAATTACATTGTCTATCATATAGCTGCATCTGGAATAACACTCACTTATTAGAAAAACAATTAACAATCTGGCATGGTAATTTGTAGTTGGGCCCTGAAGAAGACCACAGGTCAGAATCCCTGGAAAATGACATTCAAGCTAAAATTTGAAGAATGAATGGATTTTTGACATAAAGGGCTGAGACCTGGGAGATAATTATTCAAGGTGGAAGAAATTTTCAATAACACACACACACACACACACACACAGAGAGAGAGAGAGAGAGAGA